TAGCAAGGACCTACAACCAAGATTACTCTACCCAGCAAAGCTATCATTTAGAATTAAGGGTCAGATAAAGATCTTCACAGACAAGAAAAAGCTAAAGGAGTTCATCACCACCAAACCAGTATTATATGAAATGCTGAAGGGTATTCTTTAAGAAGAGGAAGAAGAAAAAGGTAAAGATAAAAATTATGAACAACAAAGTGACAACAAATACATATCTATCAACAAGTGAATCTAAAAATTAAGTCAATAAAAATATCTGATGAACAGAATAAACTGGTGAATATAATAGAAGCGGGGGCATAGAAAGGGAGTGAACTGACAATTCTCAGGGAGACGGAGGTGTGAAGGGTGCGGGAAGAGTTTGGACAAAAGTTTTACACCTATGGACGAGGACAGTGGTGGGGGGTAAGGGCATGGGGTGGGGTGGAAACTAGGTGGAGGGGAGCTATGGGGGGAAAAAAGAGGAACATCTGTAATAATCTGAACAATAAAGATTTATTTAAAAAAAGACCATGTAGCCAGTTACTGATAGAGCTGGACTATAAATACAGGAAGTCAGATTCCAGAGACTGTGTTATTAACCATTAATATTTGGCTGGACTTTCATAGCCAATTTTTACTTCAGGCTTTCAGGTGGGTAAGTGTGTACTCCACGTCACATAATTATTCTGATATTAGTGGGTACTAGGAACATATGTTCCCATAATTAGAAAAAGCAGGAAGAGGCCAGGTTAAACTTACAAGCACATTGAAAGCTACTGCTCCCTTCATGTCTGCTCACTGTCACACAGCCAAGCCAAATATCAATAGGGTGTTTACTCAATGTACTCTGTCTAGTAGGAGACTCTACAGAGGGCTTGGATATAAAATTCTATGATAAGAACAAAATAAAATAAAATTCAATGATAGAAGACATTTCAAATGAAGAATAATAATTCAAACTACCATTATCATATTTGCTAAATTTATTATTTTTTTGCAAGGAACCAGTTTTTGTTTTATTGTTAGCTCTATAGTTATTTCCGTATTCTAGTTCATTAAATATATTATTT